TTGATGGGCATGGTGAATGATAAATGTAAAGTTCTAAATGATAAAAGAGGGGTGATGACGAAGATGGTGATTAGAGGGAAGAAGAAAATGGGATGATTGAGAATTGATCGGGTTTTCAGTCTAGGTTTGAGAGTGAGAATCGTATCACAGGCAGTGGTATTCTGGTGGGGATTGCAAAGATTGCACCGGTTGCTGCTGCTGCTGCTGCTTATCGTCTTCTGGCGCTTCCTAAGCTACCTAGCAACGAGTTGAATTGAATGTCAGAGAAAGGGAAACCCGATTGAAGCGGATGCCCTCAACCGGTGACATGTTGTTGTTGTTGCTGTTGTTGTTGTTGTGGTTCCTTTTGTCAAACTTCACTTTTCTGAGCCCCAAAAAAACTCGTGCTCAAGAGAATCTTGGGAAAAAAAGAAGAAAAGGACACACTACAAAAAATACTACACGTTGTCGACAATTGCACTTCTCCCCATCATTAGCATCATCATCATCAGCAAGTGCTATCACCGCTGGTTGCCATATCTTCAATGTGTTTAGTGTGTATTGTGTGTGTGTTGGCAATTGGCAGCAGCTGTCAATGCCATGCACTCACACCACACAGCACTGCACTGAAACAGCAACACACAGGTGGTCGTCAGCAGAAAGCGAGGAGCACTTGTGCTCACAGTGCACAGTGCACTGAGCCTCTGTTTACATGTTTCAGTGGCTGCTGTTGCTTCTGTGTTTTTAATGGTATAAAGTGCTACTGGTGCAGCAGAAGCAATGAAATCAATCAATGTAGCTGTACAAAGGGGAAAATGATGAATCAACAATCATTGGTAATGTCACTTGCTGACACTGACAAGGGGGTAAGTGTTTGCAGAGGATTTTGGAAAAGTTCAAAAGCAACAATTTTGGCTGCTTCATTTAGGCTTCCTTGATGGCGAGGTACTTCGATGGATCCTTGTCCTCGTTCTCCTTAATACCGGCAGCACTTTTCTTCAAGTGGACATTGAGAATGTGGCGCACAACGGAGAACTTGATCGGCGACTCGTAGGCGCAGCTGTCCGGCGAGAAGGTGCAGGCATATGACTTCTTTGAAGAAGAGGAGGAGGAAATCTTTGTCTGCTTTGAGTCCTTTTTGCTGCGAGTGGTCACCGAGGTGGCAATGCTTTCCCCATCAACAACTTCTTTTTCATCTTCCTCCTCATCTTCCTCTTCATCCTTCACCTCTTCTTGCTTGATCTTCTTTCGAGAGGCATTGCTGACTGGAATCTCCTTATTTTCATCATCCTCATCATCCTCTTCTTTGAGGGGACGCTTCACCTGAACAGCTGAGGACGGTCCAGGTTTGGATTTAACAGCAAGGACCAGAGTGTTGGAGATGATCACCTCCTTAGAAGATTGCTGGTCCGGGTTTTTGGAAGAGGGAATCGCCTCGTTGGAGATTGATTCCACGTAAACAGCTGGAGCAGTGGCAACAGTGGCAGTTTTGGCCGAAGGAATGTACGGCACCAGTTGATCATTTTGGGCGCGTTCATCGACGGCCACGACAGCTTTATCACCACCATCAACAACGTCGTCATCTTGTTCTTCTTCTTTCAGCAGACTCTCCTGAAACTGCTGCTCCAGCTCCCCGAAAACGCCCTCAACGACCGTCTCCATCGAGTCACGCAGACGAGCCTTCAAAATGACCTTCTTCGCCTCAAAGAAGGCGTCCACCAGGGAGTGCACCACCGAGGTGCTCTGATTCAGCGCCAACAGCTGGTTCACGGAGAACATCTTCAACTTTAAAAAAGATCACTTAGAGTGTAAAAAAAAGTTTTAATTGAAAATGAGCTGAAGAGTAGCACAGTAGTGTGACACTGTCAAACAAGAGGAGAAAAAGAGGAGACAAATTTAGGATGACGAGCACAAAAGGAATGACAGTCGAAAATAAAAGTGACGACAGTTACGGTAAAAAATTTGCTCTAAAAAGTACGTGTCAAAGGGGAAAAAGTTCGAAATGTTGCTGGAAAAACAAAATCTTTAGAGAAGATCCTGTTTGACGCTGAGGTAGGCGACCGGATCCTCCTCTTCTTCCTCATCCTCATTCTCACCATTTTCACTCTTTTTCTTCTTCTTTTTGGCCAGGTGAACTGACTTAATGTGACGAAGGGCGTCATGGCGATGTTCCGTCTCGTAGGAGCACTGCTCGTAGGTGCAGCCGTACGGCTTCAGCTTGGCATGAGATTTAAGATGGCGCTTCAGATTGCCACTCTGCAGTTGCTTGCCACAGCCTTCCTCCGGACAGGTGACCACCACTGACTTCTTTTGGCCTGAAATGACAGTTTGTTGGCGTTGCTGCTGCTGCTGCTGCTGTTTGGGCTGACTGTTTTCTGGTTTTTCATTTTGAGGATTTTCAATGCTGTTGCTGAGGTGGTGGTCGTCATCACCGTCATCATTGTTTTCATCATGAGTGGTTTTCAGACTAGCCGGATTCTCAAAAGAGTGCTCTTTAGCAGCTGCTTCGTCTTCGCTTTCAAACTTAACATCGAGGTAGTGCTCACTGCTGCTGAACTTGACCTTTTTGTACGACTGTTTTGAGGGTGAAGGAGTGCTGCTGCTGTTGTTTTCCGATAAAATGAGGACTCGCTTTGGAGCTGCAACAGAAACAGCAGCAGAAGTTGAAGGTCCAGAATTTGAGGGTGCAATGGGCTTTGACTTGACGGCAAAGACCAGTGCTGGACGCTTTGGAGAAAATGGCTTGAAAAAGGATCCATTTTGCTTGGTAGGCGACTTTTTAGGAGAGTTGACTTTGACGGGGCTGTTCCTCTCCTGCTTCTTCTTCATCTGATGATCACCACCAGAACTTTCCTCTTTGGGCGGCAGCAGCATCTCCTTGACCTGTCCGACCATTTCCTCGAAGAGTCCATCCACGATAACTCTCACCGAGTCCATCAGTCGTTCCTTCACCAGCGCCTTCTTTCCCTCGAAGAAAGAGTCCACCAGCGAGTGCACCATTGAAGGATTGTTAACACTCAAAAAATGGCTGCCAAGGGAAAACATGGTGATAAGAAGTACTGACGAGAAGTAGTGAATGAAACAAGTGAGAATTTATTTTTGTTGCAGTGACAGTTTCAAAGTAGAAAGTAGAAATGGTAAGTGCTCATAGCAAGCTAATAGTGATCTTGTACAGTAAAAAAGTTCTATATTATGACCATGTGTGATGGTGGCCACGTCAGCAGGGAGGGGGTGACCAATCTTAGAGGAGCTCTTCTTTCACGCTGAAATAAGCGGCTGGATTGGCAGGTTCATCATCATCATTTGCATCCTCCTCTTCGCCAGGTTTTCCCTTCTTCTTCTTCTTGAGATGCATACTAAGAATGTGACCGATGGCGTGATGACGCAGTGCAAACTCTTTCGAGCAGCCGGGGAAGGTGCAACCAAATGGTTTCACTTTGGTGTGTGTTCGCAAGTGTCGCTTGAGATCGGCGTTGCTTATGAAGTGCTTGCCACAGTTCGGTTCAGTGCAGGGATGTTTTCCTGAAGAAGTTGGCTGCTGATTGGAGGTACTTTGAATGCGAATGTTGGCAATGTCGATACTGTCGAGGAGAGCACTGCTGCTGTTGTTGGTCAGTTCAATGTCACCACCATAAGAGCTGTCATTGAGGGCCACGTCAGCATAGTCATCCTCCTCGTCATCAAGTGGACCATCAATCTGCAGTTCCACAGTGACCGCTTTCTTCTTGTCTGGCCGACTGTTGTAGCTTCCATCATTCTCAGCCATTCGCTTGTAAAGCCCCGAAAACGGTCGAGAAAGAGGAACTGAAGAAGAAGAAGAGGGAACCGGCTTGGAATTGGCTGCAAAGATCATCTTGCTTTTCGGTGGCTGAAAAGATGGCACTGGTTGAGTGTTCATTGGTGACTTGCTGGTCGATGGTTTGACAAGAGCGTTGCTGGCATAAATTGGTGTTTTCACTTGATCAGCGACACCAGCACGTTCTTTGGGCATCATCATCTCCTTGACCTGTCCGACCATCTCCTCGAAAAGTCCATCGACAATGATCCTCACCGAGTCCATCAGTCGCTCCTTGACGAGGGCCTTCTTTCCTTCAAAAAAAGAGTCCACGTACGAGTGAAACATCGAAGGATTGCTCAACGCCAAATGGCTGCTAAAGGAGAGCATGATGAAACTGAGTGGAAACTGTAAACAAAAAGGAAAAGGGATGAAGAAAGATGACTGTAACAGAGAAAACCAAAAGTTGTGCTTTTGCAGTGCTTTATATAATATGCAGTTTGTATGTGTTCAAAAAGGCACAATGTCTAAAAGGTTCTAAATGCTGAGTAATTGTAAACAAAGTTCTATTTCATAGAAGTTCTTCTTTAACGCTAAGATAGGTTGCAGGATCGGGCGGCTCGGTGTTGTTCCCGTTGCCTTCCTCATCATCTCCAGGCTTTTGCTTCTTCAGGTGCACATTGAGAATGTGACCGAGGGCGTGATGACGCAATGAAAACTCTGAAGAGCAGCCGGGGAAGGTGCACCCAAATGGTTTCGCCTTGGTGTGCGTTCGCAGATGTCGTTTGAGATCATTGCTTCGGTTGAAGTGCTTGCCACAATTCGGTTCAGTGCAGGGATGCTTTCCTGGTGGAGTCGGCCGATGTTGTTGCTGTTCTTCGGAAGTGTTTGGAAGGTGAATGTTGGCAATGTCAATGTTGTTTACCAGTTCAGCGTCACCGCTACCACCAGCACCTTCATCACGGGACACGTCATCGTAATCATTCTCGAGATCGAGGTGATCATCAATCTGCAGTTCCACAGTGATCGCTTTCTTCTTGTTTGGATGAGTGCTGTTGTTGCTGGTGCTGGTAGTGTAAAAACCATCCTCTTCGGCCATTCGTTTATAAAGACCAGAGAAAGGTTGGGCAGCAGCAGCTGAAGAAGAGGGACCAGGTTTGGATTTGGTTGCAAAGATCATCTTGCTTTTCGGTGGCTGGGAAGGTGGCACAGTTGAAGTGCTCATTGATGACTTGCTGGTCGATGGTTTTACTGGAGTAGAAGTGGTTTTCACAATACCAAAAGGTTTCTCCTGATCATTTTTTGGCGGCAGCAGCATTTCCTTGACCTGTTCGACCATCTCCTCAAACAGCCCATCGACGATGGTCTCCATGGACTGACGTAGTCGATCTTTCACCAAAGCTTTTTTGCTCAAGAAAAATGAGTCCACGAAGGAGTGCAACATTGAGGAGTTGTTTAGAGCCAGGTGACTGCTTAAGGAAAACATGGTGACAACTTTTGACCAAAAGGAAAGGGAAAAAAGAAATGATTGTGACAGAAAAAGTTGTGCTTTTGACAGTATTTTATATGCAGTTTTTAGAAAGTCAAAGTGGCACAGTGCTTGAAAAATTCTAAATGCTGAGTAATCATAAACAAAGTTCTATTTCAGAGAAGGTCTTCCTTGACGCTAAGATAGGCTGCTGGATCGGGCGGCTTGTGGTCAGCCCCTTCGCCTTCCTCGTTGTCTCCAGAACTTTGCTTCTTCAGGTGGACATTGAGAATGTGGCGGATGGCGCTTTCACGACGTCCAAACTCTGAAGAACAGCCATCAAAAGTGCAGCCAAATGGTTTTGCATTGTTGTGCGTTCGAAGGTGACGCTTCAGACTAGTGCTACATGTGAAGTTCTTGCCACAATTCGGCTCAGTGCAGAGATGCTTTCCTGATTGGGCTGGTTCGGGAGCCTCTTGTTGGGAAGTACTTGGAGAATTCTTATTAGCGGCAACACTGCTGTTAAAAAGTTCAACGTCAGCATTAGTTTCATCAAAAGCTACGTCATCAAGTGGACCATCAATCTGCAGCTCCATAGTGACCGCTTTCTTCTTGTTAGAGTGACTTCCGCTGTTGTTGCTGATGCCCACACCATCCTCTTCGGCCATTCGTTTATAAAGACCAGAAAACGGCTGAGGAGCAGTTGAAGTAGAGGGACCAGGCTTGGGCTTGGTTGCAAAGATCATCTTGCTTTTTGGTGGCTGGAAAATAGGCACTGATGAAAAGTTCACTGGTGACTTGATGGTCGATGGTATGACTGGAGTAGCAATTGTGGTCGTCCCAAAGCTAAAGGGTTTCACTTGATCATGGTCGGCACTTTTCAGTGGCATCATCATCTCCTTGACCTGTCCAACCATCTCCTCAAAGAGTCCATCAACGATGACTTTTACCGACTCCATCAATCGTTCCTTTACCAGCGCCTTCTTTCCCTCAAAAAACGAGTCTACAAATGAGTGAAACATTGAGGGATTGTTCATTGCCAAATGGCTGCCAAGGGAAAACATAGTGACAATGTAAATGGTAAACGATAACAAGGTAAAAAGAAATGACTGTAACAAAGATAAAAGTGAGATGTTTTTGAAACATTTTATACAGTTTCTAAAAGTTCGAAATGTTACAAC